CAGGCAAATTAAGGCGCGCCGACCTACTATAAGGACCCCAAAGTAAGGTACCCCCTATTTTTCTGAAACCCCCATACAGCCACCGATATTCAAAGCGACGCCAGGGAGAAGTTCCTCATGACCAAATGCAGCGCTGAGCTTCGGGGGAGGATCCTCGACCCAGAGGGCCGTCCCCTCGATGGCAGCTTGGACGCCTCGGGGGTTCCTTCAAGCTCAGGGATCTACTTAAAGGATCATGGGACTTAGTAGGTTATAAGTAGAGTTACCTTAGTTATAAGCCTAGTTACTAAGGCCCATGATCCTTTAAGCATGGGGGTTCCTTTAAATGTTCCTAAACCCTAAACCCCAAACCCAAAGCCCTAAACCCCTAAAATTCAGAGGAAAGGATGGTTGAGGCTCCTAGGTGCGAAGGGTTTACCCAAAAGGCCCCATAGTAGTTCTTTTGTTCCAAGGTTACAAGTATGGGCCCCTAATGGACCCTTAGGGGGGTTCTAGGGTCGCTTAAGGGTACATATAGGGTATATAGTGGATATATAAGGGTCGCAGGGTTAAGGGCCCATACCAGGGGCCCATGGGTTCAACCGTGGATTTGTGTGCGCACTTTAGAAGCCTGAGCCCTAAACCATCCTATAAACTACCCATGGGCCCCATAGTAGTTCCTTTTTGGGATTACCAAATGGGATCCTAAATATAAGCATGTCGTCTTGCTTGGTTCTCTTTGCTTAATCGTAGGGTTCGGGTATATACTAGGCCACTAGAGTTGTTACAACATGGCTTTACACGAAAGTTTCCTGTTCAATCGCACTTTGCAGGTGACGTATACACCAGGGTTTCATCCGGCTTACAGGCCTTTAGGTGGGCTCTAGACTCCAATATCCCTGTTTTTTCGTGGGTCACTTGTCAAGAATCTTTGCTAAAAATTGCAGGACTACGGCCTTGAGCTTTTGCGCGTGTAGAGACCATGTCGGTGTTGTTGACTTAAAGGTGGTTTAAGGGCGAATGGGACATAAACAGCTGTAGGAGTGTAAAGGTGTAGTGCTTTACTGGATTGCGTAAGGTTGAAGGTTTAATTTAGGCTGGTTGTGCTTAGGGGTTCAGACTCCACGTCACGTGAGCTCATCTGAAGAGACAGTACTCCACAAGATTGTTGTGTGCCCTCACATCGGCATTCCGGAGCTGCAAGAAGAGCTTTCGAGCTGCTCTTTTTAGATCAAGAGGAACACAAGGGGAAAGGGTCTCGATTGGAAGGATCGGGTTTCGCCCCGGTCGGCTTGATCATACGAGCTCTCTGTTCTTTGAAGCAGACAGGCGACAGAGAGCGTGGGAAGATGTGGGAAAGGAGGGCAAGCTGGCCGTGGTACTGCTTGCTTCACCTTGTCTGTGCCAGTTGCGGTCCTGAAGTTTTAGCTGTTGTTTGCTGCATGATCGAACCACATCTGATTTGCATTCCTTTTTCAGTTGCTGGGGGTTCAGGATTTGGGGTCACGGCTTTGGGTTTAGGCTGTTCACTGTTAATATCCTTTGTGGAACCCTGCTTTCCAACCGTCTGCGAGGGGAGGAAAGGGAGATGGCAAGGATATGTGCAGAGAAGACGAAGCGGTGTGTCGGCAAGGGCACTTGGGACATCTGTCGAATGAGCAGCCTCCAACGACATGTAGCAATGAGGAACACGGAGTACCTCAGTCCTACAAGCTAATAAACACCCTCAACCTGTAAACCGCAAGCCACAGTCACTGAATTTCGATAATGAAAAAGATACTGTCTACATTGCAAAAGACATACACTCAACGGGAGCCTTCTGCATGATAGCAAACAGCCGGCAGTCTGACATGAAGGCCCAAATCGGATCCCATGACACGCTTGCTTGCCTAAATCCTAAAACTGAAACCCTTAATCCCAAACCCTAAAGCTTAGACCCTAAACCCTAAAAGCAGTGCTGTGGAATCGCTCAACCCTAAATCCTCAACTCTCAGAGTTGAGGAGGTCACTAGCCTGAGCATGAAGGTCCATGATGCGAAGGGAGCCTCGAACATAAAAACAAGAGCATCGCCATAGGGTTTAGGGTTTAGGGTTATGTGGTCTGAACACCCTGGACATTCAACCCTACACCCGGAACCCTGCAACCAATCAACCCGAACGACCCCTGCAAGCTTTTTTCCAGGCCCTAAACCCTAAACCCTAAACCCTAAACCCTAAACCCTAAACCCCTAAACCATAAACCGGGCACACTCAGAGACCCCGGATCGTTCCAGCAAGGAAGATCCCCTCAACTGTAGAGGGGTCTTAAGTAGGGTTTAGGGCTTAGGGTTTAGGGGGTCTTAAGTTATGACCTCAGGTATGCTTCGTCATCAAACCTTTGTTAATACCCTATAAAAATCTCTAGAGACCTAACAAGCCTTCGCAACGCCATTTTCGTAAAATACCGCCTACAACCCCATAAAACCTCTTGGAAAGCGGTATTCCTTAATTGACGACATCCTTGCGAAAGAATGATTCCTTAAACCCCATAAACCCTTAAACCCTAAACCCCTAAACCCTAAGCCCTAAACCCCTAGAAACCCGTAAACCCCTAGAAAACCGCCTAAGCCCCTAAGCCCTAGACCGTCTGGGCAAAGTCCGAGGACTTCCTATGCCGGAGAAGGTGGAGTCAAGGCAGATCTTCATGAAGGAGAAGCCCAAGGAGGTTCTGAAACCCTAAGCCCGAGGTCACGTACGGTTTTTCTGAAGCCCAAAGAGGTCAAAGCTTCAGGGCTTTTGGAAAGTGGTTGATGCGGTGTTCTAAGGGTGCTATAAGGGGTTCCTGAACAGGATTCTCAAGTTTTTTTGGCTTTCGAATGAACTTGACGAGGGAGGGGTATAGGGTTGAGGGACTGAGGGTTTCTGAAGGGCACGATGCGGGTTCTACACTGAGGGCTTTAGGGGCTAGGGGATAACATAGCGGCCTAATTAGGGTTGCAGGTTTTGGGATAATATAGAATAACCATATAGGGATTATAAGGAGTTCTACGGTAGAATCCTGAAAATTTCTTTGAATGATTGCCAGGACTATTTAACCTTCGGGTCCCTGTCATACTTACAGTCTAGCATACGGTTTAGGGTTTAGGGTTTAGGGTCTTTTATGACAGTGGAAACCTTCTTACACAAAAACCACAACCAAAGCAGAGCCCCGTAGTGTGTCAATACAAGAACCCAGAATCGATCCCGCAAGATCGTCCCTGTAAAACCCTGTCTATGAATAACTGTATCCTTGAACGCCAAGTGTTAACCCTAAGCCCTAAACCCTAAACCCTAAACCCTAAACCCTAAACCCTAAACCCTGTCTATGAATGACTGTATCCTTGAACGCCAAGTGTTGCTTGTGTCGGATTGGCTCGAGCCACCGCGTGCCGAAAAGAAACGTTCGAGAACGCAGGCCGTCTGGCCAGGCTCGGTCATTTGGGGCTTTGGGGTTTAGGGTTTAGGGTTTAGGGTTTAGGTTTAGGGTTGAGGGCTTGGGGTTTAGGGTTGAGGTCCTAGGGTTCAGGGTTTGGTGGTTTTGACGGGTTGTCCGTCGAAGGTTTCAGGGCCAGGGTCTACGTCAGGTCTACAGAGCTTTGCGTTTCCTATGGTTGATGATATAAATCCTGCATTACCCATAATAAGGAATATACCATAATTCCCGTAGTTTAGGGTCCTTAAGGTAATAATGCAGGATTTAGATCATCACCAGTAGTCTTATAGGGTTGTGGGTGTTTGTAGATGTGAGGAATGCGGTCATAGCTAGTGTTGCAGGGTCAGACGGTTTCCTCGGAGCTTGCTGCATTCGTTTCGTTGTGCTGCACAGTTTCGGATTTTAAAGCAATAACAAACCCGGAATGACATGTTCCAGTTAGGCTGCGATTCCTTGGTGCAGTTGCTCAATGCTTGGAGGATATGCCCCGACGGTTATTCTATAGTTCTGTCTTGTAGGTTCTATCTGCAGGGTCATACCCTGCTCCATTTTAAGGGTCCCAGGTTCATGGTCCTGTCTGATTTGTACAAGAATAAGTACCATAAAGGATTAGGGAATGATCTTCTAGGTATATATTTGGAGCAGTTATGAATTTGAGGCAACGTGCGGATTTAAGCCTTGTTCTTGTCAGTGTTTGGAGCTTATGGCGAACGAACCTAAAAAAGGAACGAACCTAATATAGGGGCCTTAATAGGGTTTTGGGGCCCACTTTGCAAAAGTTATACTAAGGAATTCGAGGAGAAAGGACTTTTGCTCCAAACTTGACAAGGTTTAGGGTTTAGGGTTTAGGGTTTAGGGTTTAGGGGCATGCAGATCACAGTTTAGGGTTTTAGGGTTTAGGGTCTTCGGCCCTGGGCCTTCGGTTTACCTTGAACTACCATAAACCTACTTTTTTGTAGGTCCTTATTATAAACCCTAATATAGAATTTATGGGGCCCTACAAAAAAGTAGGTTTTGGTAGTTGAAGGTAGGGTTTAGGCGATGGCTTGGAGTTTCGAAAACGACCTTTGCGTTGTTTCCTCCTGCTCTAAACCAAGGGTCAAGATCTATGCAAAGTTCCCTAAACCCGCAGCCCTAAACCGCTGAAGCCCTAAAAGCCTGAAGACCAAACCCTAAGCCCTAAACCCCAAACCCAAAGCCCTAAAGCTCTAAAAGCCCCCAAGCCCCAAACTCTAAACCCTAAACCGAACCACGCAACCGTGGCAGGTCTTTGCAAAATCATGGCGGAGCAGAGACTAAGCCGCAAATAGAGCCGGTGAGGTTTGTGTGGTTAGGGTTTAGGGTTTAGGGTTTGGGGTTTAGGGTTTAGGGTTTAGGATTTAGGGTTCAGGGTTTAGGGTTTAGGGTTTGAGGTTACGGTAAAGGGGCTTAGTGGTTTGGGGTTGAGGGATGTCTCGGGTCTTCAGGGTTCATCGGGTGGCGCCGTACCCTCAGAATTTCTTGATATGGGTATATTCTCCTATACTCCCTAAACCCTAAACCCCAAATCCCTGAACCCTAAACCCTAAACCGTGAATGAATGAGGCCCTTGGAATTTACGGTTCGGGGCTTTGTGGGACTTGGGGTTTGGAAGATTCCTTGGTGAGTTGGTAGCTGTCAGGACACCGGGTCAGCTTCAGAAGCCGTTTCCTGTCTTGCTTCATACGAAAAAGCCGCACTTGCAACGGGATAGGTCGGGGTGATAGTGTCTGTTATCGCAAATGACAAGGTGGCACTGCTCTTACCCTGGGCCGTATGCACCTTCAACTGCAATGTGAGCCCTAAGCCCTAAATCCTAAACCCTAAACCCTAAAACCCTTGACCCCTAAACCCTATACCCTAAACCCTAAACCTTTAAGCCCTTAAACCCTATAAACCCTATGAACTCTTGAGCTCCAAACTCTGAACTCTGAGGAGCAAGCCCACTCCGAACTTCCAAGACATCATGACGAAAGCCTCGAAGAAGGCAGGGACACCGGCTTCCCAAACCACACCACCGCGCACCACTTTTCCAGCCCAAGTGCTATAGAAATCTGACCTTCCCGAAAACCACAGCTTAAGCATTCAGGTCCCCATTTGGCTAAGGGTTCCCTAAACCCTAAACCCTAAACCCTAAACCCAATTTTAGGCTTCGGCATTTGGGGTGCCCACAGTGTCAACAGCCTGACTACATCCTCGACTCGAAAGCCCAAAGCCCTGCAGCTCAGGGTTTAGGGTTTAGGGTTTAGGGTTTCAGCTTTCATGCGCCTTGTACCCCAGAGGGTCCACAAAAACTATCACTCTGGAATTAGGTCCCAAAAGACCATCACGTTTATGGTCTTGGGGGGCTTAATTCCATAATTTCAGAATGGTAGTCACCTGGCAGTAGCTCTGGACTCGGGTACCGCTGGCTGGCGGCCTAGTAACCTGAGAAGGAATGAGTGAGGCAACCCCCAACTACATACCCTAAGCTGTAGGTCCCGGCCCCACAACCCAAAACCGAACCACACACACACACACACACACCTGAAACTCTGAGACATGAGACACCGCCACAAAGAAACCAGAAACCCCCCGAAAACCCAACCCCCAATCAACTACTACCGAAAGGCCTCAGCCCAACCACGACACTATATCAGCTCGGAAGAGGAAGCCAAAAAGCAACCACAAGTGTACCCTAAATCCCACAAACCCTAAACACTAAAGTCCAACACCCTTAACAGCCTATATTCCTCTAACCGGTAAACCATCACAACCATCTCACAAGCCCCAACTTCGGGGCTTGGAAACGGAACCTTTCCCAAAGAAAGAGAGGCCCGAAAAGGGAGCCGTAAAGGAGTCGTGCCGTGCTTGCTGTGAGGCCCTCAGCGGAGGCCTCGCCGGTATGGGCGCGCAGGCTATCAACGCACTGGTCTCAGACAGGGTTTAGGGTTTAGGGGTTTAGGGTCTAGGGTTTTTCAGGGGGCCTTTCACGTTTAGATCAGTTTTGTTTATAATATAAATCGGGTCTTAGCAGGATTTTCTACAGGTTTGTATGGGAAAATGAGAACAGGGTTTGTGGGGTGTTCTATACTAATGTCATACAAAAGAGGCTTATCGATAGTACTGCTTATCATTCAGGCCGCTGCATTCCGTGCTATTTGGAAAAACAGCCCCCGAAATAGCAAATAGGAATGGGCACTGAATCACAAAGCTTTAGGGATTCATACTGTTGATGATATAAGCCCTGCATTACCTTCAGGACCGAAACCTCAGGAAATCCTGGTATATTCCTTATTATGGGTGATGCAGAATTTTTGCTCATCAACCGAAGGGTTCATAGGCGTCGAGGGCCCAGGGTTTAGAGTTTAGGGTCTAGGAGTGGTTTGGGGTTTGTTTGTAGCAATGCAGAGCCCTGTTTTCACCAACCCTCTTTCTTTGTAAGGGCTGCAGCACGTGTCGGGCAGACCATCCAAGCTTTCAGGGTTGATGGGTCAGGGGTTTAGGGCCTCAGGGTGCCCCTGAAATGGTTTATGGTTTCGGAGGTGAAGTGTTTTCTAATCCTAAGTGAAAGCCTCAATCCTTCAACCAACTCAAAGACTCCGTCTCATGATAGACTGGGCTTTGGAGTACCATACTTTAATACTTTTTTTGGGGGGACCTGTTCCTTAAAGGAACCATTATAAAAGAAAAGTCTATACTTTTTTTCCCTGGTTACTTCAAAGCCCAGTAGAAGGACTCGTGGGTCCACTTAGCGCTGGGGGGGTTAGGGCCTGAAAAGGCTTCGGGCTTCGAGTTTAGGGTTAAGGTTGGGTGTCCTTCTGCTTTCTTCCCTGCACCTCAAACCCTCAACCCTAAAGCCTAGCCAACTACACCCTAAACCCTAAACCCTAAAGCCTAAAGCCTGCCAACCACACCCTAAAGCCTACACCAAACCCCTAAACAGCCCAAGCAGGAGGGATGTAGTCGGACGCTTGGTCCTACCAAACCTTCAAATCCCTAAGCTTTGCGCGAAGTCCGAAACCCCCTAAACCCTAAACCCTAAACCCCTAAGAGGTGTTGACTCTTATGTGGATGAGAACGATCATGAACTACCAGTACCGCTACGGCCGGCTCAATGGGTGACCTTTCTATATGGGAGTTTCCGAAAATTTGGGGTACCTTATTTTGGGGGTCCTTATAATAGGGATCCTATTATTTAGGGTACTATAGTAGGGTCCCCTATTTTTGGAAACCCCCATATCCATTTAGGGTTT